ATTAGAATATAAGAATTATAATTATAAGAATATAAGAATTATAATTCTCATAATTATTAGAATATAAGACTTATAATTCTTATAATTAATATTATTTCTTCTAAAAACTTATGCTGTCGTGATTGTTTCGACATTTTTCCGGGTAAAAACTAACAGTTAATTAGAAATGAAGTAAAGCTATCATAATAAAACATCATCTACTTACCAAAACATTTAATTTTTGTCACTTTTTTTTACACAAAAATATCAATCTAAAATTTTAGGTACTTTCTTGAAATTTGAATTCACAGTTATTCTGATTGAACAAACTACACAACAATCTTTTCAGAAATGTGCAACTAATCGAATGCAATACATTGAACACGCATTACATCGTAACATCTGATCCGATAACGTTATAAAGAAATTAATTATTCTCCCGGTCAAAATACCGGTCGTGATAGAAATACGACAAGTATTATTCCAAATAAACACTAATAATTTGAATAGTTTATCAAGAAGAAAAAAAACTTAAAAGGGAACCGAATTCTATTTTTCTACGTTCCAATGAAAATTTTGGGTATTTGGGCATTAAAAGAAGTTTTAATAACTGTTTAGTTTGGCAAAATAATTCAAGCTTTTCGATTTTTTTTATTTGTTGTACCTTTATATTTATTTAATTTAATTATTTTAATTATCTTCCCTGGTTTTGAAAATTGTTTTATTATTTGTGGATCACAACAGGTTAGCATCTCATTTTTTTTTTTAAATTACGCAAAATTTAAAAATGCTTTATTTGAGTTTTTGGAGCTATCAAAATGTTTTTAAATTTGTTAAAATTATGGCATCATATCTAAAAAATGATTTATTTTGTGTATGTGAAGTTTTTTAGATCGTTTTTAAACTTTATGGCATGCTATAGGGATCTAAAATATTTTTGTGTTCGTTAGCCCTGCTTGCGATTAAGGCGGCCCTGAGTTTACTAAAAAAATGCAGTTAAGTATAAGTCTGTTATAATGAGAATTCAGAAGTACAAATGAAATGTTCGTTAGAGCACTTGACATTATAAGCAAATACAGATATTAAAAATGTCAAAATAGCAACAACAACAACAACAAATCGAAATAGACATATTTACTTACTTTCTTTTATTTCGAACAATTATTTTATTTTAATTCTTGCTGAACAACTATTGATCTAGATAAATTTAATATTGATTAATTATAGAGAAGACTGCTTTTTTCTGCAGATTGCTGAGTGAATTATGTAGCTCTTATGTATTATATGAATAGCTACGACAGGAATGTTTGAATAAATTTGGATATCGTAACATGTTTTTACACGAAGAAACTGAAATGATGGGCAATACTTTTTGACTTATTGGTCAAAGTGAATTTTGATTTCAACAGTAAGTTGTCAAAAAGGTAAAAAATGGAGACATAATAAATATGACCTAGCAACCATTTTACTTCAGCCGCAGTTGGGCTCAAAATTTGCTCATTATGGGCCTTATGCACTTTCACCGAGCACCGAGGGATCAATATTGGGATGTCCTGATTTTTAAATTTTGTTTCTGTATATGGTTAATGCCGTCTTTTAAAAGGCCAATATGAGGCCTGTATTGGCTGAATAATGAATATAAAATATCGAGTGAATATGACAATTATGTATAGGGTCGATAATGGTTATAAAGTGTCTTTAAGATAACGGGTGATTCGGAGAATTCTGTATAGGGCCTACTTTAAGTAACAACATATTCTTTTTCTAAGAATAATGTTAATTTCAGAACTTTCCCAATAACTATAACGTTAAGTGATAACAACATATTCCTTTTCTAAGAATGATATTCATTTTGGAACAGTTACAATAAACTGTTAATTACAAAATTCTTTTTCTAAGATTCCCCTTCTGTCCATGTCTAAATAAAGGAAGTGGCCTCACAAATGAGATTCCCTCTGCAGAGGATCAAAACCCCAAGTCAAAATTTTTGATGGTTTTCCATTGATGGACCAACATAATCTTGATGGTAACCATCAATAATTCCATCGTGAACCATTATATTTTTTGATGTTAACTAACATAAGTAACTATCACCCCAATGTGGGAATTCGGACTGATTTATGATTTTTCAACATAAGAATAGCAACTTGTTCTGATGGTTTGTTCATGTTAAATCATCAGAAATTTCCATCATAATTTCTCAGAAATCAAAAGTTGGAAAGACCACGAACATCCATTATCCCAACGTAGAAATTCGGCCTGATTTACGATGGGCAAACATAAAAAGAAAAAAAAACAAATTGTTTTGATGGTATATTCCTAAGAAGCAACAATAATTCCCATTAAAACCATCATGGAAATGTTTAGTTGAAACCATCACAGATCACCATGGATTGTTGGTCCATGAGAATCAAACTTCTCTAGATGGTTAACCATCATAGAATCAAAGTAGCATTTTCCATGATGGAACTTTGCTGGTATATCAAAAACCATGAATGTGTAATGGAAAATGTTGAATAATGGTGACCATCAAATGATGTTGGATCATCAGGTATCGCACTAAAACCAACATAAACCATCAAAATGATTTGATGGGACCATCAAGAATTTTAACTTGGAAATTGTGATGATATGTCCTCGGATCATCCTCAGGGATGTTTCCCAGACTGTTGCCAATAGCTCAAGCTGCAGCTCTAGTGTGACGTCAATCTTTTCTAAGAATGGTGTTAGTTTCGAAACGTTTCCAAACCAGTAACTTTTTATGTTCTTTCTCAGTTATACCTTTTCTAAATAATTCATTATTTAATTCGGGACAATAACTAAGAGAAATTATAACTTTTTCAATGTAAAAGTTAAATAACAGTCATGTTAAGCGACGTGGGAAAGAATATAAATTCGAAATGAATTCTGAAGCATATAATTTGCATATTTCATTCACTTTCAGTGGCATCATTTCAGATGACCCGTATTTCAACAAAAATAAGCCACAAACCCAAATGATTGAACGCCCTCTCGCGAATGAATTGAAAAATAGTAAGTAAAATAAAAGAAACTTATTTACGCAAACGATAATTAAAGTCAAATGATCCTGGTTTAACTTCAGCGCAGAAAAGGTTTGTTTATAACAAATATGGTCGAGAGTTTAGCATTGACACAGAATGGAGTCAAATTGCGGAATTGACGTTGGCGTGTGTCCCGGATGTTTCAATTTCAAGGTCAATCTTCATTAAATCTAACGGGAAGAATTACTGTTAGGTACTGATAACACTTACAGAAAACTCTAGTTATTTTAAAACACAAAAATCTAAGTTAATAGTTTTTTTTTCGATTTTTGTAATAATGAGAATAAAAATGTGTTTATTTTCAATAGAATGCGATATAAAATATTACCTTTACACCCCCCCCCCTACTGAGCTTTATTGAGCTGGTATTAAGACTTTGAATGTTATTTTTTTCTGTGTGGTAATTTTTTTTTCCAATTTGTAACGATGTATTTGTAGTCAGATATAATATCTGTAGAAAATTTGAAAAAGATGTATTTAATAATGGGGGTACAACTACAGTTTTAAAAATGGTGTCTATGTATGGTTAAGTGGTTGAAAAAAAGAGCATTATCTTATCTAAGACTGTCGAACAAAGAGTAAATTTGAATTGGAATTTCTTTATGCAATCAGGTTGTCACAAATATCCAATTTCGAGTTTTTTTTAAATTCTAAATTTAACGTATGCTAAACAGAGAATGTGTTACTTTATTGCATTCATTTTAGATTCATTTTTTCTAGCATTATCATTTTAATTTTAAAAAAGTGTGTGTACAACTGTGTTTTACTAATATGCCCTAGTTTTTTTGTAACGAGCTACTGTGTAGCTTGAAAATATTGTTTCATTTCCAAATGTTATAGTTTTCGTACTTTTTATACCTGATAACACAAGGGATCAGCCAATTTCTTACAAAACTTAGAAACGTTGGTTTGCAAGAAAAATGGCTAGAAATCACTACTCTACAACTTCCGCTCAACGACTACAACCTTTTCTTCTTTACTCTCACCATATCAATTAGACACTTTACTATACCTAGACACCACCTTTAAATCTAAAGTCGAAACCGTTCAAGAATTTAGAAGGTGCTGCAGGTTTTAGTATACATTCTCATTCAGCGCATTTACTTTAATTTTGTTTCAATTAATTTTGATCCATAATTTTAAAAATATTAAGCTTAATTCCAGTATTATCTAAAAAAAAAAATTAAAAGTTTATAGCATGTAATACAGGGGTATACACAGTTTAATACGAAATAAATTAAAAATTGGGGTATGGGGGGTATTTCCGCATCGGTATCTGTCCCAGCCAAAAGCAATTGCCAAGACGCTAAAGTGATATAAAACTTTCAAAAATTAATTTGAAAAAATATTTAAAAAGAAATAAAAAAAAAAGTATATATATATAAGGTTTGCCAGGGGATGACGAGTTTTACCTTTTAAGATCGTTCCCTTCCGGGATTTTCTTTTTCTTTATTTTGTTTCCTTAATTTCTTTCGAACTACTGCTCGGAAGTCGCCAAAACTTGGCGTTCGCTTTGGCGTACACACTGTTACGAATATGTTCTCAAAAATTGTAACTTTTTAATTTTTTATCGAAAATCAGCAGCACCATTTTTGAAATTTTTTGTTGAAATTTTTACGAATAATTTAAATACGCTTATTAATTACAATAGCACACAAAAAGTGAAAAGCCTACATGCATTATTAAAAAATTTTTTAATGAGAAGCTAGGGGAGGGGAGAATTTAAGAATCTAGGATCTCACATTAAGAGAAAGTTAAAAAGTGAAATCAATTTCGAAAGAAATCGTTTTCCAATTGCTTTCACCTGCCTATGGGGCGTGGAAAAAGAAAAATCTTTTGACAATCGGGGTTTTTCCCTACCTTGAGAAAGAAAACGAGGCCGAAACAATGACGTCATTAGAAAGAGGGTTTTTAGAAGTTCTTTTCGAACACCTTATCTTTTTATTTTGGTCTTAGTTTTTCGCCTACCCCCGTGTCCCGGTGCGTTGACCCGATTTTGAAATTAAGTTCAGCATATAAAGGAGCCATTATGTGGGACAGTCCTGATAATCTTTTTGGAAGCATGGATAGTGCACACTAACAGTTCTAATATTAAGTGAAAAACCGGTAAGTTCATGATATTCATAGCATTTAAATTGAAATTTATTATTTTTTTTTAAAATAAATAAATAAAATAAAAAAAATAAAAAAATATAAATAAATTTTAAATATTTTCAGAATTTACAATGTTAAAAAAAAGGAGTTGAAACTGAAAAAGAATTTGTTGATTTAAGTCTGTTTGATTTAATCAATTTACAAAATAATTTAAAATTTACAAAGAATTTGAATATGAAATTATTTAAATTTCGTTATTTAATTTAGATATTTAATTAGAATTATTTAAATTATTTAATATGAAATTATTAAAATTCTCCTATATTTAAAATTTATTGTAAATATATTGTTGTATCAAAATAGAAAATAAATAGTGTATATTATTAATAATAAAAAATATATAAAAGTTAAATTGCATAAAATTGCATATAAATAAAAAAATCCATAAAAATGATAGGTCAAGTTTTAATATTTTTAGAACTTTCAATGATTAGAAAGGGAGTTAAAACTAAAATGTATCTTAAAAAGAGGATTTGTTGATTTAAATCAGCTTAATTTAAACAATTTACAAAATAATTTAAAATTTACAAAGAATTTAAATATGAAATTATTTAAATTTCGAATGATTCTCCCATATTTAAAATTTATAGTAAATATATTGTTGTGTCAAAATGGAAAATAAATAGTATATATTATTATTAATAAAAAATCTATAAAAGTTAAATTGCATATAAATAAAATATCCATAAAAATGATAGGTCAAGTTTTAATATTTTTAGAACTTTCAATGATTAGAAAGGGAGTTAAAACTAAGATGTATCTTAAAAAGAGGATTTGTTGATTTAAATCAGTTTAATTTAAACAATTTCCAAAAAGATTTAAAATTGACGAAACATTTAAGTATGAAATTATTTAAATTTTTATTGATTTTCATTGTTTTAAAATTTATTGTAAATGTATTGCTATGTTAGTTAGTTTCAATAGGCAAAATTGCAATTGTACTTACAAAATGATCAATTACTACTTTTTTTGAAATAAATGCAAAATGATTTTCTTTTTCAGAATGCTAATTTAAATAAAATGATAGATCTAAGTAATATTTAATTCAATTATAAATTATGAATTTTTAAGATTTAAAAAAAAAGAAAAGAAGCAGATCCATTAAGTTAGTTTTGATAATTTATTTGTTATTTTTTTAGTCGGATTTTCATTAGTTAATGCTTTTGTTTCATTTTCAATTAATTGAATCATTCATTTGTATTATTTATTGTATATATGACTATAAAATCATTTTTAATGCAGTCATACAGTTTTGAATGTATTTTTATGATTTATTTTAAGTAATATTTCAATTATAATTGCACTCATAAAATATAATTTGTAATCATTGAAGCTCTTGAAGTGTTCTTTAAAAATTAAAAATCATGAACTCAATTTAAAAATATTCACATTGAAAACTTTTATTAAAAACTACTGATTAATGAAAATATAAGCAAAATTTAGTTTTTGTATTTACAGTGTATTTTTTTTCTTTTGTTTACCTTTTTTTTTAATTCCCCGTGCATAAAAATGCAGAATATTATAATTCTTTTAAACACTTATCAATAATAATCTTATTGATTTTCTTCGAAATGGTGCAAAAATTGAAATTTATTTTTCTGATTGCAACATTAAGTACGTAACAGTTTTAAATTGTATATTGTTGTCAAATTAAAATGATATCATACATTTTCGATTAAGTGAACATTTAAATATGTCTTTAAAAATTTATTTTCATAAATGAAAATTTTTGACCTTTTAGTTTTAAAAATTTCGGAAAAGCAAAACTGTTTAGATTTTATTTACTGAAAAGTTAATCATATCTTATTGGACAAGAATGCAGTGATTGGTTTCATTTTTAATTCCCGTAGTAGTAAAGCTACTTTTTCTTGTTTCTCTCAGTTCACATTCCATAGTTTAGATTTTTATCTTACAAACAAGAAATACTTTTGTTTTTCATGCATAAAATATTCCATAGTTTTGAATTTTATTTTTCAAAGAAGAAATATTCCATAGTTTTGTTTTTTATGTTTATTTATTTAAGATTTTATAGTTCTGTTTTCATACTTGAATTTCGTCGTGTTAGCTGCTTGATATGTTTTTTTAATTAGCTGAAATTTGCAATCGGACGTAAATATAAATTCTATCAATGTTTGAGATAGAATTCCATTTTACTTCATTTGTGAGGGAATACTATAATTTTTCTCATCATCCACCATTTAAAGTGATGCATCTACTTCAACTCTTAACTAGGTGATTCTTTTTTCCTTTTTTTATTTCTTTTTTTTCAACAGCAAATTACGTTTACTAATTAATAATTTTTGAAATCTGCATCGTTAATTTTTACCAGGAAAAAAATGATTACTTTTTGCGAGTCATGTCTCTTTTAAAATTTAGTTTTGCAGGTTAAAACGAAATAAACTGTAAAAAACAAATTTAAGTGTAAACGCCAGTATACTTATTGATCTGAAAAAGGCATGTCAAATTGTCTTTTTTTTGCCCGGGATAGCCTGATTGGCAGCGCGCTGAACTCGCGTTCGTGAGAACAGAAGTTCGAATCCAGCCGGCCGAAGACTTCCCGTGTCGTAAATGGTAACTGGTGCACGTTAAATTTGTTGGTTCGCTAAGTCCTCCATGTTCCCATAACAAATTATACCTCTGAGGGGTATTGAATCGGAGATTGATCGTTTTCTGGTTCAGGTCAAAATTACGATATGCGTATGAATCAATGAATGGATGTATGAATGGGTCTGCCCTATGAACGGGTGTGATGTATGAGTTTGGCAGAAGTCAAATTCTTGGCCATAGATGGCACCACTGGAAAACAAGAATAACGGCACCTCTTGCCTTAATGACCTACGACAACAGCAACAATCCCAAATTGCATATTTGTACCTAGTTCATCGGTATCAACCACATTATGTGTCAAAACTGCCCAGAAAACTCTTAAATTTTAACATAAATTTTTTAAAAACTTTATCCATAAATTTACTATCGAGATTGGATTGTTTTGTTCGAAAGTTTCTGTATTCACACACTTCTTTATTGCTATATTTGTCTTCTAAAACACTCAATTTGAGCTATGTCCATTATTTACAACTCGCATTTTATGTTATGTCGATGAACAATATGACGGGTATTAAATTATATCCATTTTTTATTCAATTTTTCGTCGAGAAAAATAAAAACAGCCATTTTTTTAAGTGACTTAAACTCGAAAAAAATCACACAATGATTTCAAACTAGGTACCTTCTAGCAGTAAATAGTTATCTAGAAGTTATTAAACATATTCTGAAATTCGTCAATTGGTCTAGTTTATTCCACCTAAATGAAAATTATTTAAATTATTGAATAATTATAAAGTTCTCTAAACTTCTATGTCCCCAGATAATGTCGCGTTGTAATAAAATTTCAAATATTAAAAGCAAACTTCGTAAAACTGTGGCTTCTCTTAACAATGACTTTTTGCGCCATTTTCCTAATTAGCATAGAAGGAACTGATTCAAAAATAGGCTTAGCATATAAGTCACTAAAAAGTATTAATTTTATGTGTCTTCGAAAAATAGCCTCTACCTCTTGTTTATTTTCATAAACGCTCTATTTGAACTATATATCCAAAATAGAAAGTTCAATAACAATAATCGAACAATATTCGCACGAATTAAGTTAAGATTCTTAATTCGATTTTAATTTTTGTTTTTCACCCAATGATTCTTCCCTTTCATATTCGTGAATGCGTGGAAAGCCTTTTTGTTATTTCGCCGGACCATGAGATTTCAAGGTTAACAAGAAGTTGAGAATAAAAATAGTTGCGATTTAGAATAATTAGGATTCCTCTGTGCTTAGGTGAATATTGAGGTTGTTTGTTTGACATTTGTGTTATTTTTCAACTTTCTATAAATATTCTATGATTGACATTCTGACGGAAGTTTTTATTCTTCTCAAATGAGTTCGAGTTAAGTTTTGTCTATGTGAAAATTACTAACCTCACCTGTTCACTGAAGTATTTTACTGATCCTTCCAGTAAATTAGGCTGAGAGACACAGGGTAAAAGAAATCTGATCTAAAATATAAATCTGAATTATGATAATTGTTTCAATTAAATAAAATTAATGTATCGCATTTGAACTATTAAAAAAGAAAAAAATTATAATAGCTTTAATAATATAGTTATTGAGAAATCATCTTTTCATTTACTATTTTCAAAATTTAACTAAGTTGCAAAGTTAATGAAAAAGAGATTAAAAAAAAAAGAGTAATTTGCATAAAATTTAATATATTGTTTGTAATAGTTTCCTAGTTCATGAACATTATTAGCTAAAGCATCTTTTTGCGATGTATGCATGTGAAAAATTAATAAAGAGCTCTTTTTCTTGTAATTGCTTTGCACAATTTCGATATTTTGTGCAAATGTAATTAATGCAAATTTAATTTTAAAAAATATAAATAATTAGAAAATTTTTAATAGAGTATGAGGCAGAATACCGCTCTCAGAGAAATTCTGAACTTAGAATATTGACGAGATGATAGAGTTCTACATCACTGTAGAAAAAGCCTTGGACATATATCAGATTCATAGGAATGAGAAAGCATTATTTGGTGAAGATGCAAAAAAAAAAATTGTAAATCGTCGTTTCACTAACTGCTCATTATGCTACCAAATTATGTTCTAAATAAGATGTAACACAAGAACAAAATCAATTCGATTAATAATTAATTGCAGCATGTTGTGAAATATTATTAATTGCTGATTTTTTCTATTGGGGAAGTCACGTTAGAAGACTCCTTTTATCACAACGGAGAACGTTATTACGTACAGGACGCAAAAGAAAGGATTACGCTGAATAACTTTTGATGTAATGATCGGATCTACATGTTCTGGGACTCATTCTTACACAAAAAGTAAAATTAACGATAAGGGGTCCAATTTTTGGATCGCTCTTCTGACCAAACTATGGGGATCATGCGTAGGGGAGGAAGGCTAGCTTCAATCGACATAATGTAAACTAGTCCCCCAAAGCTTGGTGCGGTCCCTGTGTATAAAGGAAAAAACACATTTAGGGGCACAACAGCAGAAGTTTTTGAAATATTTTTTGATTATCTTAAAATCAGATCTACTTTAAAAAACAAATCATTTGCATCAAATGAAATGCTATTTCTAAAAGTTTACCGTAAGGCGAGAGAGAGATTTAAAAAGAAAAAAAAAACCCAGTTTAAAAGTGTGATTTAGTTTCATAAGCGTATTATAAAATTTTTATTGCCAATAATTAATTTTTTGTATTATTTTCATCCTTTAATTAAGACACAGGAAATCCTATATTCTATTAGTACATATGCACAAAAAATTGTTTTATCTAAATTATGTATTCTATAAGTCTGTAATGTATACAAGAAATTGCATGCATAAAATTTCATAATCTATTATTCTATATTCCAAAATTACGGAAGAAATTCTATATTCCATAACTGTGCTCAGAAAAGTTAGATAAATATTTTTGACAATATTTTTGTTTTCGATAATTTTGCACACAAATAATTTTATCAAAGATTCTACAATTATGCAACCCAAAAATTCTGTAATTTGGAATTCTATATTCTATATTCTTATATTCTATATTCTTATATTCTATATTCTTATATTCTATATTCTATATTCTATATTCTTTTATTCTATATTCTTTTATTCTATATTCTTATATTCTATATTCTTATATTTCATAGCTATGCGAGGCAAGAAATCCTGTTGTCAGTAAATCTGATAATTTTGTATTCCATAATTATGCATTTAGAAATTCCAGAATATATAATGTCAAATTTTATTTTTATCATAATGCACACAAAAAGCTATGGAACTGCATTCATTATTTAATATTTTTAGAGTGGTCTTAAACGGGACTTTTGCTTTCTCGAGATGGGCTTTATTGGCTATTTAAATAATTAAAACCAAATTCGATACAAAAAAAAGTAGATCAATCTCGCTTTTAAATAATTTTAAAAAAAATGACCCCTCAAAGAAAGTTAGGAGTAAACAAAAAAATGAAGAAGTCAATGAATTGTTTATTTTTAAGTTTGAGGATGTATCTCTTGGAGTTGACCTAGAAAGAAATCGAATGATTCAGGTCAATTTTCAGGAGACGGGAAGAAAGTTTGTTGACTCATCTCCTTAGCTTTCTATGCTTTTTTTTGTTCCAAAATGAAATCGAGGCTGAATATTTTTTTCTTCTTCTTTTTTTGGAATGTTTTTAATTTTCTCCCCATTTTTCGAAAGCAGAGGAGGATAGTTTTCTTTATATGGGTAAAGATGCTAAGGTGTCAAGCCTACTTCATTAAATTATGTGTAATAATTGGCGTTATTGAGTTTTTACGGTAACCCAATTTTTTACGGTAACGGTACCATTAATGATCGAGTATATTTTGGCGGAATCCCTAATATATAAATAAAATTTATTAGAAGCTGTAAACGTACTAACCCCCCCAAAAAAGACTATGAATTATTTTGTTAATATTTAATAAGAGAGCCGGTGGCTCGGGGGGTAGAGCGTTCGACTTCTAATTAGGTGACCCGGGTTCGAATCCCAGCGATGGCTGATCGATAAAAATTACTCACCCGGCTTGCACTGGATGCGGTGTTGGCGTAAATAATCTCAATGGTAGACAGATCACGGGTTACAGACCCTTGCCGTCAAGCTAACCGTGGCAGGGTTTCGTGATTTTCCCTTCGTGTAACGCAAAAGTTCCATAAAAAAAGTCTTCCACAAAGGCAAATTTCTCCCACTACTGTATCCAGGAGTTCCCTTGTCTTCTGGATTGCAAGGCTGCGGTGTTGAACATTAGTAGTCGTAAACCCAAAAAATTGGGTAGGCTGTTCAACGACGGTTACAAAATAAAAATGTTTAATTCGAAGAATGCATTTTTTTTTCAATAATCGTTTTATCAATGAAACTCTAAAAATAATAGGTTTTATGTCAAACAGTTGAATAAGCTTTGTCTGGAGCCTGTCTAGGTCTGAATTTGTTTTTTTGACCTTTTGAAAATCGTTGACTTTGACTAACTCAGTTATTTTTCTATTTATTTAAAAGGAGCTATATATCTTTCTTGACTGAAGAATTACTTTGACATTCAAAATTTTTGTTTATTTGAGAGGATTTCACTTTTATTTGTTGAACATCGTTCTTGTATTCAGAATTTTATTTATTTAATGGATCTATACCTCTTTGAGAATTTTTGGGCTCTAAGAATTTCTATTTATTTACGGGGGCATATAATATCATTCTCGTCTTTTGAAAAAAATTGGTTATTTTCTTTCGTTCTTTTCTATATTTTTTTAATTGTAAAGATTCAAAGACCTATTCCCTTACAAAGGGAAGTGAACAATGGAGAAATGCCTATTGCCAATTAACCAATTTTATTTAATTTTCTGAAAAACTGAAAATTAATTAAGTAACGAATCTTATTTACTGTCTTTCGTGTAATTAAAAAACAAACAAAAGAATAATATAAGTGCTATACGATATATTTCGAGAAACACGGCTTGACAACTATTTACTTGCTATTGCCTAAGGCTAAAGTAAAATTTAAAAAAAGTGATAAAAAAAATTATATATTGAAAAAATACATAACTTATCTCAATTTTGTATTTTTTTAAAATTTTCTTTTATTTATTTATTCATTTATTTATTTTTATCATTTACGTGTTGATTTGTTTTATTGCACTGTATTACATAGGTACTAAAGAGCATCTTCCAAAGCGGGAAAATTTTAAGTTTGCAGAATGATTTAATAAAATAAAAAAATAGTTTATTTCTTATAACAGAGTTTCTTTTGACAAATTAATAACAATATGTAATCATCATTATTTTTAAAGGTTTTTTTTTCTTCTCTTTTTTCCTCTTTTTTTCTTCTTTTTTTCTTCTTTTTTTAAAGGTACGTATACTCTTTCGTCATAAGTTTGTTAAAAACGCAAAACATAGGAAATCATATTTTTTTTATAAAATTCAAAATTACTTACGGGTATATATTCAAATAACAGGTAGTAATATTTTTATATTTTTTAATATTGTAATATTTTTTAAATAATTATAGTGTGTATGGATAATAACATTTTTATATACGCATTTTTATATTTGCAGATACGCAAAATGAAGATATTACTTCCAGCTAGTCTCTGCTTTATGTTGTTCTCAGTCTCATTGGTTTCTAGCCAGACAGCTAATGGTAAGCTATAGCCAATCATTTTTCATTTTTATTTTCATTTTTTCTTTGGTTATAAAACTTGACAGATTTTATGACTTTATTTCTTTTGTTATATAAAAGGAAAGGTGTTATAACCTTATTAATTGTTAAGATTTTAAGGGTTACTGTTTCTTTGAAAATAAATGAACAAATGAAAAATTGATGGATTTCATAACTTAATTTTTTTCCATGTTAAAATAAAACAAAAACTGCATGAGTTTTATAATTGTTTCATTTCTAATAAAATTGGATGGGTTTTTAACCTTACTGTTTCTTTCCCAAAAATAATGATCAGCTTTTAACAAAACTAGATGTGAATTTTATTGTTTCTTTTATAATGAAACTTATCATACAAGAAATTACTACAAAAATATAGAAATTTAAACAATTACTTCAAATGCAGCGCAGATTATCCCCTGCCAGATAATCCGAAGCTCTGAAACCAAAGATCTGTCTGTCAGATTATCATAAGACAGATTATCCAAACTGTCAGTCGTAAAATAAATATTTTAATTTTAAAAAAGAAATATAATGATAATTCCTACCGATGTGATGACTTAGGTTTTAAATCCCAGCAACAATTGGACTCCAGGAGACAAGGAAACTCCTGGATCAAGTATTGGGAGAAATTCGATTTCGTAGAGGATTTTTTGGTGGAACTAACCCGCATTTGCATTGCATGGAGAGGAAAACCGCGAAACCCTCCCACGATTAGCCTGACGGCAGGGGAACTCTAACCCACGATCCATCTACCACTGAGGACATTTTATTTCAGCACTGTGGTCGGTATGAACCGGGTGTGGAATTCATATGGACCAGCCATCGCTGGGATTTGAACCCGGTTTACCACATTGGAAGACGAACGCTCAGTCTCCTGAGACATCACGGCTCACGGGCTAACCATTGGACGTTTTCGTGGTTTCCACTCCATGTAACGTAAACGTGGATTATATCTAACAAAAAGTCTCTTTTAAAAGCTACCTTCTAATGCTTAATTCAGAAGTTTCCTTATTTTCTGGATTGTGTTCAAAATTAGAAGGCTACAAAGTTGAACATAGACCTCAATAACAATTTGTTATTTAAAACCGGTTATAAAATGAATTAAATTAATTTATCCGCCATTGAGGATAATTTACGTAAGCACTGTGGTCAGTTTGAGATAAGATCAGTTTACGAATTGACCAACTATTGCTATGATTCGAGTTTAGGTTATCCTCTGTGCCATTCCAGTAGTTTCTTGTCTTTTGGGTTGGTCAATACCAGTTATAAAAAAATGAAACGAAATATTTTTTTGATTACAGGTGAGAAACAATGGTTTTGGAACTCAACTACTGCAGCCGCTGCTTCACAAATTGGAGATGATTCCCTTGTGAAGAACGCTTCTAGTTCGACTACTCCCTCTTCTTTCTCAGATGGCACCGAAGCGGTTCCCAAAAACGAAACGGATGCTGTGTTTTCACCTGGTGATTCGGACGGATTTTTGCCCGTAAATATAACATCCGGAAGGAGTTCAGGATTGGCCGAACTCTTCTCGGACATATTCGAACCAGCCAACATCACTCGCGGCAGAAGTTCAAAAGCCATGAATCTCGATCTGCTTGGCGGTGTTCGGGAAGGCAGAATACTCAACGAAGATCCCGGTAACAAGAGGCTGTCCTTACAAGGTTTTATTCCAATTGTATCGTTTGCTGGCAAGGAAGAGGACGAGGAGAAACCTACCAAGTCGCTGTCAAAGAGCCCTAAAAGGAACGAAGATTTGTACTATAGTGGACCCTATCCCCCCATACCGATAGATAACGAAGAAGAGACGAAATCGGACAATTACTATTCCCCCATATCCGAATCTCAAAAGATAAACAGGCAAGGTTTCCAGAAGGCCATCGATAATGACCATAAACAAGAATATGGTGTCAGAATCCAGGACACAAAACAATCCAGTCACAATTATTACATACCCCCTCCCCAGCAGAACTTCCAGAACAAAGAAAAATACATCATCAAACCTAGCAAAGAAGCTGTTCGATATACATCTGCAAACGATTTCCACAATAGGCATACATACCAGGAAACCCCGCAGAAGCACTTCTCCATACCAAAACAGCAAGATACCCACTACAGTCAAGACGCCGTCAAGTCCGAATCCCAGACCACTGGTCACTTTTTGGTCACTTCCAAGCCCGAAGATGCTCAATACGCCCCTGCTGGACCCTATGCACCAGAGCCTATCCCCAGCGACGAAAGGTATCCTGCACAGGACACTACAGCCAAGCACTATCGTCCGGGTGCTAAGCAATTCGATCAAGATAATCTGTATGAGCTGCAGAACGGGAATTATATTTTGAGTGGTGGTGATAATGATGAGAAATGCATCTGCGTTCCATTTTATCTCTGCAGAAACGGCTACTTGTCCAATTATGGAAGATCTTTGGAAAAGGATGACATCGATGAGAGGTCTGCAAGGAAAGTTTCCAAACGAGATGTGGGGAACAAGGTATTTTACTATTACTTCTTATATTTACTTCTTATATTTACTTCTTATATTTATTATCTTTTATATAATTTACTTATATTTCCCCGTTCACTGTAAAGAAAACTTATTCCGAGGAAAAAAACTGAAATCGTTGAAAAAATTTAGATTTTGAAAATGTCGTTTTAATAATTTAAACAGTTTAAAAATATTAAAAAATTGAAGCAGTTTAACTTTCCGGTGCATAGTTGTTTGAAGCTATTTACTATAAAAATACGGGACATTAAAAGTACAGAAAAAAAGTTCACCAAATGTGACGCCAAGTTCCAGAATCGGTAAAAATAATTATTTTTAATTACTTCTATTTCCTCGTTCACTGTAAAAAAAAATTATTTCGTTCGGGAAAAGAACAGAAATCTGTAAAAAAAATTTAGGCTTTAAAAATGTCGTTTTAATAATTTAAACCGTGAAGTTTTTTTGAGAAAAGCAACAAACATATTTGAGAAAAAAAAATCTTTCTTAAACACCGTTAAGTCTACTTTTTCCAAAATTGAAGTTGTATGAAGCACCATGAATATTAACAATAAAGGAATTTTTGTATTGTTTTGATTGATCGAATTCCATATACAGTAGGGAGCCGATTATCCGGAACGATCGGGACCATCGCTATTCCGGATAACTGATTTTTCCAGTTTTCTGAATCGCTACAAAAAGGAGTTTTTTTATTGTTAAACCCAATTAGAAAAATTTTTTTTTGGGGAAATAATTTTAAAAAGAAGAAAAAACGATGAAGTAATACACTAATGATTATTTTAAGGTGAACATCTTTCAAAAAAGAAAGAAAAATCCTAAAATCTTATTAGGAAAAATAAAAAATGGCGGGAAAATTTATCGAATTTCGTTCCGGTTTTTTGGTTTTCCGGTTTTCTGACTTCCGGATAACGGGTTCTGTACTGTATTTATTATAATGTGATTTTTCCATTGTTCGCTATTGATTGAATTCCGTATATATGTTATCGTGAATAATCGAAATCAAGAGAAAGTCGATTTTCACCGGTGAATGTCAAGCAATCATATGGTCGATTTGGTGAATGTCCGAAATATTTGTTATATCCGATTTGATATTAATTTATTCGTTGATATTATTATGTCCGATATTTTAATATCTGCTGATGACAGATAAGGAGAAACATCAATGTTCGGAGTACCGGTTAAATGCATACTGGGCAGTGACACCGAACCTTTAAAAACATTGATGTTGGGTATACTGGGTAAATGTATACCAGGCAGTGGCACTTAACTAGACCTAGTATATATTTCGGACATTTACCAAACGTGATACTATGTGACTATCAACATTCACCAGTGGAAGTCAACAATCACCAATTTCGGTCATTCACAGTAACATATTTATTGTAACGTGATTCTTATATCATTCTGATTGACCGAATTCCGAATATTTATTATAGAGTGATTTTTCCATTGTTCCTATTGATTAAATTATGTTTTTTTTTTTTTAACAGACAACAGACTTTGAATCACAGACTTTAGCTCCTTATACAGAAGAAATTATGGCCCGAATGATTGGATTGAGCAACGTGGGAGACAGTTGCGGACTTTTGAGGAAATGTTGCAAAGTCCCTCAGCGTGGTGGTGTGCCCACTGGACTTCTACCCTTCAATCCAGATAATTATCCCATTCCACACCAGGACTTCAGCCAACTGCCCCACGGTCTCCAAGGTGTCCATTTGCAGCCAGGTAATGAAGATCAACTCGCGGCATTTATTCTAAATCAGGATCAACAATCAGGTGAATTCATTGAATTATCAGTTGAATAACACCTAACATCGTGGTCAGTTGAATAACACCTAGCATAACATCGCGGTCAGTTAAATAACACCCAGCATTACATCGTGGTCAGTTGAATAACGCCTAGCATAACATCGTGGTCAGTTGAATAACACCTAGCATAACATCGTGGTCAGTTGGATAACACCCAGCATTACATCGTGGTCGGTTGGATTACACCTAGAATAACATCGTGGTCAGTTGAATCACGCCTAGCCTAACATCGTGGTCATCTGGAAAATAAAACTCAGTAAATCCCGAGAATTATGTGTTCTTTTTTTGGGGGTGGGGACAGGAAATTTTGAAAATGTTGAATTCCTAAGAGTTTAAATAGGCATTCAAATCAATACATTAGCCGGGATGGCCTGGTTGGTAGGGTGCTGGACTTACGTTCATGAAAACGGGAGTTCGAATTCATCTTGCCCAAGACTCCCCATGTAGTAAATGGTGACTGACGCACGTTAAATCTGTCCCGTTATAAAATCCTTCATGTTCCCATAACAAATTATACCTCTAGGGGTACTGGATTGGAGATTGATCGTTCTCTGGTTCAGGTCAAAATTATGGTCTGAGGATGCATGAATGAATCTGTCCGCCCAATAAATGGGTGTGGTAGAAGTCGAATTCTTGGCTATAGATGGCGCCACTGGAAAACAAGAACAATCTCACGCCAATGCCTCAATGGCCTACGACAACAGCAACAATCAATACATTAGCATTTTTCAGGGACAGTAGCAAAATCTTTGCTCAAGAAGCACTATGGTCAATTAATTGATTAACTTCTTGAAAATTTTTAAAATATTTTACTTAATATTTTATTTTGAAAAATAAATGTCTGCTTTCTTTAACATCTTGCCTTAGCAATTTTTAAAAAAAATGAAATTTTCTTTTTTAAATAATCGAAACATAAAAATTTTTCATTGATTTCTTTGAAAATATGCTTAATTTTAAAGTAGTTTTATTCAGTATTTTTTTAAAAATAAATTTATAAAGTTAAAAATTTTAAAATTTAAAATTGATTTTTTATAAAGTATTGCAAGTTTATTCAAGTGAGACATTTATATATAAAAAAAAACATAGAAGCCCATTGGAATTAAATTGAAGTGTATCAAACTGCTCAAATGCAAATGCTAGTTCGTCCCATGGAATACTGTCTGAATACAATCCAAGAGTTTCATCGGCTTCTGGGTTGAATTCAAAAGTACAATGTACATTGAATATTGGTTGTCGTAAACCCAAAAAATATTATTAACTAAATGAAAAAGATGATAAGAAACATAATTTCTTGTAGAATTTTATTGAACAGTTAAGGATATACAAATCTCAGCAATCAGAAATATCCTTACGTCACGTCTTTGATCAAAATTCTAGCATCTCTAGAATCGAAATTAAGAAATAATTTCCAAAAGTCGATTATTTATTGAAATTTATAACGAAACATTTAAAAAAAAAATCTGTTTCAAATAATTTTAAACTGTTCTATTTCTTTATTTAGGTCACCAGCAAGATCATCAGATTATTTTGGTTCCTCAAGAAGTTCCTCAGCCACCTCAACACCGTCCTCGACCCATCTACCAGCCACCCAAACCCCCAAGACGAGTCTTCCCTCATCCAACACCCCGTCCTCAGACATCCGTCAATCCGAACAGATCCATTCGTCCAGTCTATCAGCCACATAGGAGACCCACAGCTCAGCCAGTGTACGTCGAACAGCCTGTCTATCAACCACAACCTAGTTATCCGAAACCGCAGCCAGCGTATCCACCACCCTCCCTGCGTCCACCCAAACCCCTGCAACCCCAAGTGTCACAAGGAGGTCAATGCGGGGCAAGAAACGGTTTCGGTATTCATGGAAGAGTAAATAATCTTCAGTATCATGATGACGCATCTGAATTCGGAGAGTACCCCTGGCAGGTGAGTCACAATCATTCAAAACACTTGCGCTGGGTGATCTTGGAATTTTAACAAAGCGATATATCGTCAGAATATATCGATATTTCACGCAATGTTGTCAGAAAATATCGATACACCATGATATATAACAACAAAATATCTTATACATTTGTAGAGAGCCGTGGTAGCTAAGGGGATAGAGTGTTCGCCTCCCAATGAGGTAAACCGGGCTCAAATCCCGGGCAATGGTTGGTTGGTTCGAAATCCGCACTCCACTCGCACCGACCACAGTTCTGATGTAAAATATTCTCAGTGTTAGACGGATCATGGGTTAGAGCCCCTTTGTTGTCAGACTAACTGTGGGAGGTTTTCGTGGTTTTCCCCTCCATGTAACGCAATGCGGGTTTGTTCCATCAAACATTCCTCCACGAAGGCAAATTTCTCCCAATACTTGATCAGGAGTTCCCTTGTCTTCTGGATTGAATTCAAAATTACAAGGATACAGAGTTGAACATTGGCAGTCGTAAACTGAAAATTTGTTCGGTTGTTCAACGACGGTTATAATACATTAGTAGAAAGTATGGGAAGTCCATGATATATCGCCAGTAAATGTCGACGTTTCATGATATATTGTCACAAAATATCAGTGTTGTTAAAGTCAAAAGTAGTGTAGTGAGAAGCACAGATATTTAAAGACAAAAAAATGCTTTCCCACTACAGCCAGGTGTCAGCCTTAGGGAGGGGTGGAGGTTCAGGAAATGAAGGTTTCGCAATTTCGGACTTATGAGTATGATTGTCAGTGGTCAAGCAATGTGGTTAGCGTCACGCAATTGCTGTTATACTCATCGATCTAAAACTGCATTGGCTTCATCCGCTGCTGGGAATAGAACTTTAGTCCTTCTGTGACAGTTCAATACCTTAACCACTGCAAATAGCTGTTGAATTAAAAATTATGTGTAATTTTTTTTGCTGTGAGTAGCGTTATTTGTTGTCGAACTGAGTAAATAATTTTAAGGCTAGCTAAGAGTAAATTCCTGATTACTTTAACAGAACGCCACAAAATCTTCCCACCGTTGATGGACTTTTCAAATACAAAATCTTCCCACCGTTGATGGACTTTTCAAATCCCCGGTTATTTTTAGAGCACCTGCTTGTTTGTTAGAACTTCTCAAACACCAACGCAGCGCAAAAGAACGCAACAAAATCTTCCCATTGTTGATGGACTTTTCAAATCCCCGGTTATATTTAGAACACCTGCTTGTTTGTTAGAACTTCTCAAACATTAATGAAAGTCATTAATGACGACAATTTTGATTAAATTGTGTCCTGCTAAGTATTTCGTTACATGCTTTTGGAAGTAACTTGTCCTTTTCATAACGGATACGATTTCGGAACAGATACAAAATAACTGTTACGAAATGATATCTCCAAACATTGCATTGGAGGATCATAGCTGAGAACCTTTTGTGACTATTCATTCTTTGAACATCCTGAAAATCATAAAAACCTGATTGCTAAACTATGAATAACTTTAAATAATTTTTATTTCAGGCTGCCATCTTGTTGAAGGTAGGCCCAGGTAACAACCTATTCGTGTGTGGAGGCACATTGATTTCCAGCCAATGGGTAGCAACTGCTGCACACTGTCTTAAAAAGTAATTACTTCTATTTTATTTTAAACCATTTATAAAAGAATGATTTCACTGTATCCCTTCTAATTTTTTAGTTTTTTTAATGCTTGCAATGGATAGTTGACTGAATGTAAACAATAACAAGCTTCTTAAAACTAGAAGCAATTTAGAAAACTTCTAATGTACCCCTCCGCTTATATTATGCTTACTAGGCAATGTGTGAGCAGGCTTAATATTCTAGGAAGTTTTATTAATCTGATTTATGTTTAAATTTGTGCGTAATTAAAAAAATCAATTGGAAGTAGAAACAGGGAATTCTTAAGACAAATTTTAACTACTGGCGCCATCTGTGTTTAGCTTTATGCAGTCAATCATCCATACATAAACATAAATGTTGCATTTAACTAAAGATCGTTATAACATCTGAATTTTAATCCATTCTTCTACGATTGACAAAAAGTGTTTCAACAGCTATAAACTGAGTTTTATTTATTCTTGTTTTCAGACATAATGCTGATGAATTAAAAGTCCGTCTAGGTGATTGGGATGTCCATCGAGATGATGAATTCTACCCTTACGTCGAAAAGTTCGTTGTGGAAGTGGTGGTTCACCCTGACTTTTACCCGGGTAATTTGCAAAATGATCTCGCCCTGCTAAGATTGGAAGCGCCCGTGGATCCAACTCTACCCCACATATCTCCTGCATGCCTTCCAGAACAGAATGAAAAGTTCGACAATTTGCGTTGCTATGTCACAGGATGGGGCAAAAATGCTTTTGGTAAGGATTGCCTTTTCTTATGTATTAAAAGTGCTTTAATGTAGCAAAGGGTTAAATTGTAAAACCCTTGATAAAAACAGAGGCAAAAAATTATGCTTATTAGCGGTCGCAAATTAATATTTAACAAAAAAAGGAAGAAAAACGTTATTAAAATCTGTTGAATCACTAGTAAGGGAAGTGGGGCAAAAAATTCAAGACCATTTAAACTGCCTCGTGAATTCAGCCATGTTTTTAATAATCCCGTGCCGATTGTTTACCCCAACAATTCATTTTCGTATTTTTAGTCTCACTTTCCTCAATAGTGTTTTGATAGATTCCAATTACATTTTTACTTGATTTTCGATCTTAGATTTCTTACTTCATTTTTTGCGAAGGATTCTGAAAGTATATACTAAGGCGGTGATTAAGTAAACCCTGTATTTTATTTTTTCAATCAAAGATATTCAGGATTCATTTCAAACTGTCAAAAATTAATATAGTTTTAATCGAATACTTGTGAACCGTAGTGTCTCAAGGGTTAGAGAACAATGAGGTGACGGAGGATCGAATCCCAGCAATAGTTTGTTGATACGAGGTAGGAGGGTCCTTTATTTACGTCGCTATTGGCTACGATCTGGGAAACATGCCTGAAGTTGATCAGGAGACATACCAACACAATTTTGATCATCTGCAGAGGATTTCATTCGTGAGGCCACTTCCTCAATTTAGACATAGATCTGAAGGGGAAAGAAATTTTCTCTAGTATCCATGGTTCTGCTTAGCGACCGAACACAGGACTTTCGATTCCGCAGATTTTGCAAGCATATATATGGCATGAACTCGGTGAGTTTTACTGGAGTCGAGCATCGAACCCCATCCCACTCCGGATCGGTGTTCGATTCTATAACCATCGGGCTACAACGGCCCTGAGCGATATAAATTCTGCACCGACCACAGGGTGGCGTAAAATATCCTCAGTGGTAGACGGATCGTGAGTTAGAAGGCCCTTGTCATCGGCTAATAGTAAAAAGAAATTGTCGTTGAAGGAAATCGTTGAAAAAAGTCGGAAAACTGTTGCTCGCTTTTCTATATATAAAAATTGCCCTATATCTCCACTTAATATTAACCCATAATTTTCCAGCTCGCTCAGTTATTAGATTATAAGTTAATGTATTACCACACCAAAGGAAATTATTAAAAACATATTAAAGGGTCCACAATGAGGCACAGTTGCAAATGAAAGCGTTGCCAAATACGGTACCATTGAAAAATCGCGGTAAATTACTTAAAAAATTAATTATAAACTATTTTGTAACGTAAATGGTTTTATGGTTTTGATCTCCAAGTAACGCAAATGTTTTCCCCACGAAGGGTAGTTTGATCCAAGAGTTCTCTTGTCTTTTAAATAGGATTCAAAATAAAAAAGCTAATAATGAGTTGACTGTTCAATGCTTTTTATAAAATAAAGCGAAATTTTTTTTTACTAATTATTAATAATTATATCCTTCTAGGTGAACAAGGTGAATATCAGAGTGTTCTAAAGGAAGTGGACGTCCCAATGCTCGGTCAAAGGGATTGTGAACACCGATTGAAACAGACTAGGCTCGGTCGCAGTTATCAATTGCATCCGGGTTTCTTGTGCGCCGGCGGAGAGCCAGGCAAAGACGCTTGCACGGTAAGACGCTTATATTATAGTTTTATTTATGGGCTATTCTAGTTTTAGATATTTAATTTTAATTTTTTTTAATTTATAGCTGATAATTTTTAAAACTAACGTTAATTTTTTTTTCATTACGATTAAAAATGTTTCTGATTTGTTTTGTGAAATATAAACTTAATGGTTGTTAAAAAAAATATAAATTTTATGTTGTATTATTGATTTAGAAGTTAAAAGTTTAAATTTGTCTTTTGAAAATATTATATAGAGCACTGAAATTTACCCACTTGCAGAGCGGTTAGGAACATATTTATGCATTTTCAAAATGAACCTGTATGTAGTATTGTTTTCCGTAGTTTGAGAATTGAAAAAAAAAGTTGAAAAGAAATGCTTTATTAATATTATGAATAGTTTTTTTAATAGTTTAAGACTTTAAAATTTTTGAAAAAATTGTCACACGTTTTCGAAAGTAGCCACCATTAAAAAGGCTTCTATTGACCTTTGGTCAGTAAAAAAATTACATTAATTTTATCCTATATCAAGAGATTTTTTATCGTTCTTACCTGCTCTTCGTCTAATTGTTTGTTATGCGTACCTGGCAACTTCTATGCATAATTAGTTTATTTATGTTCCACATGACTTCATGCCTGTTTTTGTGTTAAGTCAGAAATATATGATGAAGGAATTTAAATCTTTATGAAAGAATCTTTGTGTAAGAATATAGAATGTGTCACTTCAGAGAATTGATACTTTACGGGCTTGTTTTACCCGAAATAGAATGGAAAGAACAGTTGCTAACGTAAACAAATGCCACGTTTCAACAACCAATCAGAATCGATCTACCCACACTACGTCACTTGCAGGCATCCGATTAACATTATTCAGACGTTCGATTTTATGAATGCTCTAGTAATAAAACTGATATTGAAAAGATATAAACTTTTTACTTTGATTCATCAACTATAACATTTTTCATTAAACTATTATGAATTTTTATATAAATGTACGACTATATGCTTCTATAATATTAATCTAGGGTGATGGTGGCAGTCCCCTGGTGTGTGAACATGGTGGAACATGGAAGGTGGCCGGTTTAGTGTCCTGGGGAATCGGATGCGGTCAGCCTGGAGTTCCCGGCATTTACGTCAACATGGCCAAATACAGAAGTTGGATTGAGACAGTTATTTACAATTATGGATAAAGAGATCGGAAGATCCGAACTGTAACCGTGTCTGCTGGTGGGCACAACACAGTCTATATTAAAGTGATCTAGTTTAACCCATTGAAATGTGTCACTGTAACTGTGTATACAGTTATAACGAGCACCCTTCAGTTTCAATCTTAGAGACGGTTATGACTTTTACACTTAGGACAGATTATTAAAAATGTTAGTGTTGATCCTTAAAAAACAACATGAATACACTAGCCTTAAACCTTAAAAAATATCTGAGTAGGGAATATCGAGCAATGACATTTTATATTTTAAAAAGGAAAAAAAAAGAATGAGCCTGGATTTATTTCTATCTTTCATTTTTACCGATTTATTATCACGGATAAAATGTGAGATAACTTAAAAACTATCACTGATAGTTATTGGTCATCTCATATCTCTTGGCGAATGTGATAAAACTGCTCGATATTCTGGATTCTGATGATTTTTAAGGTAGAGGGTCATTGCCCATCATTCCCGATCGGTTTTATTTTTTCCTAAGAATAATCTTCTCCCATGGAGCATCGAATTGAAGGTTGCGCCAACTGGATCTTGCTGCTCGTGTATTTATGTATTTCAGTAGGTGTAACTAGATCGCTTTAATTTTATTGAAATATCGTTTGCTAGGCACAAATCAAAATTTATTATTATTTCGTAAAATTCTGTGGTGCCTGATTGATTTTGATTAAATCAAAATCGCGAAATCAGGCACTACTGTAAATATGTGCCATGTTAAAACAAAATTACTGCTGTCTTCTCAAGTTAAAATATAGGAAATCTTTGTATTAAAATTGTTTAAAGAAACACTTCTGACTTTGCTCAACATCAGAAGTGTTCATTATTTTTGGGGAAAAATAGGGAAAATCAGAATTTCCTGATACCTTAAAATGAGGAGAAAGCAATTTTAAAAGTTTGCTACGAGGAAACAAAATGTATACCAAATTGGTACCCTTTTTATATTAAATTATTTATTATTTTTTTCCTCGGAGTAAACTTTTTATTCTTGTGCATTTTAATTGAAGCAATGAATGATGATTTTATTTAAAAATCTTATTCATTTTCATTATAAATAAATAAAGCATTGAATGCATGCATTTTGCCAACGTTCTTTTCACTGAATGTAAATGAAAGTAAAATAAATATAAATTTTATATTTGTGCAGTTTTATTTTTGTTCTATAACACTACATTATTTCGCTGAGTTATTTCTAAATATAATCCGATGCTTCCTGTTGCACAGCGAGAAATTATTCATCGAAACAAATACCTTAACTACTAGACAGAGTGCGTGTTTTTAAAAATTGCTCAAATGTGCTTATTTTTGATTTACGTTTTTTAAAAGCCCTTAAAGGTGCTTTGTTTTATTCGGAGTTTGTAAAAAGTGCTTAATTTCCTATCTTTAAATTTTTTGCAGCGTCGTTTGTCGTTCTAAATTACAAAAAATGCATGATTTTTACAATTTCCTCTGCAATATTTATCAGATATTAGTTATTTGATCATGATTATGTAAAGTTTTTTTTAAAATGTTAAACGATAGAAAAAAATAATTTTTATTACTACACAGTTCCTAATTATGGTTTTTCTTTTTGGAAAGTGATAAAAAAAACTTTTTGAGTGCTTGAAAAGTACTTAAAAGGTGCTTATTTTTTGTTGAAAAATCTGGCTATGTACCCTGCTACTAAGGAAAATAGTTTTTATTTTAAAAAAATGAAATCACTGAAAGATCATTTCGCTAGCATTCATGCTAAAACGACAATTTTCTTTTCACTACTGTCAGTTGTAGCTGGCGAATCGATTACTGTCGCCATTATTTGTAACACAAATTAGTTATGATTCTTTGTGATTGAATAAGAATTCGTGTTGCTTTCGGAAGAAGAAACTATTTTTTCATATCTGTAAGTATTTTTCTTCCGAGCTTATTGTTATGTCTGTTTATATGCTCTCCAATGATTTTAAAGTTAAAATATTTGGAAATTGTTTACGCAACTCTAACTATGTTACAGCAAAAATTTATAAACTTGATAGTATCGCAATTTATAAACATTATTATAGCGCTTGAAGTCTTAATTTCGGGTCACGTATTCTTTTCGAAATTAATAGAAAAACTAATAAAAAATAACGAGTTGACAGTAAGGCTTTAACAAGTTTTCACCAAGAAACAAATCTAAAAATTGGTCCAAGTGTTTTTTAAAGAAAAAATTTCTACATTGGATTTAAAATTTCCTTTTCAGTTTTGGGTCACGTGTTCTTTTCAAAATTAGTAGAAAAAATAATTAAAAATAATGAGTTGGCAGTAATGCTTTTACACGTTTTCTCCAAGAAAGAAATCTCAGAATTGGTACATATCAGATATAAGAAAAAAACTAAAATTAAGTTTCAATTTTTGTTTTTCAAAACTAGTTTCAATTTGATATTTTGTAATCGGAATAATTAGTTTAATTAACCGTAATACGATAGGTTAAACAACGAGTTTTTACCAAGATAGAAGCTACAAATTATCTTCTTTAGTTTTTCCTGAGATGATATAAGAAAAAAATTATTCATTTATAAATTTTGTAATCATCGGGGTAATTTTATAACCGTCGTTGAACAGCCGACCAAAATTAGGGTTAACGATTACTCGTGTTCAACTTCGTAGCCTTGTAATTTTGAAACCAATCCAGAAGACAAGGGAACTCTCGGATCAAGTATTGGGCGAAATCTGATATCGTGGAGGACTTTTTGATGGAATTATTTTCTATTTGCGTTACATGTAGAGAAAAACCTCGAAGACCTCCCACTGTTAGCTTGACGGCAAGGGGACTCTAACCCATAATCCGTCTACCACTGAGGATATTTTACGTCAGCGCTGTGGCTGGTGCGAGCCGGGTGCAGAATTCGTATCGACCACCCATCACTGGGATTCGAACCCGTTCCCCTCATTGGAAGGCGAACGCTCTATCCTCTGAGTCATCATGATTCTATAGGGGTGATTAGCCTAATAGACAGTAATGCTAACTCGTTTTTATCTGCACAGACACATAGCGGTGAATACGTGTTGGCTGAATAGCTGGTCGTCGCAGGCTGCTAGTAAAAAATATTAAGTAAAAAGGAATATGCAAACGTATGTTTTAATTTTGTTAAAAGAAAAAAATACTTGCATCTATTACGTACCGTACATTAGAAAATAGAAAGAAAGAAAAAACTTCCCAACACTCATGAATAAATACCATATTATATAATTGGCAATTAAATAGCTTACTGTATTTGCTTACTGTTGACGCTCAGGTAAATATGAACACTCTCAATAAACAGAAGTATGCGGACTGTAATTTTGCTCAATATTTATTTATTAATATTTGGAAGAGAGCTTTTTTGTAGCTCTTTACGGCTCTCCTTCCACACACACACACACACACTCTCTCTATGTTACAAGTTTTTCTAGATGGCGCTACAAATCCGTGCGGATACACTTACCTTCAGTAAGATTTCGAAAGTAAGCGTTGATATAAAATTCACTGAAAACAGCTTGACTCAGAAGTGCTTGTCTGTGCACAACACAATTCTACAACAATCGTAATTATTTTATTGAGTAAATAGTTCCAAGAAGCTGATCAAAACATTTCAGTCACTTCAAAAAATGCATAAAATGTAATAATCAAAATGGATTTGCCAGACGTTAATGAGGAGAAGCAAAAGTGATTTGAAATATAAAACAGTGATACAGTTGCCAACAAAAAATATGAAATTAAAGATGAGAAACAAAACTAGAAATACCACAGTTGTCAAAAAAGGAGAAAAAAGATAGTAAGTAGGTGTTTTATTAACGTCGCACTATAGCTATACAGGTGGGCTATAGGCGAAGGTCTGGGAAACATCCCTGAGGTTGATCCAAAGCCATCGCAATTTTGATCCCCTGCAGAGGGGATGACTCCACTGCTTTGGTAACTCGATGACCTGCGCAATAAGTCGTGCATTTTACGGTAGAACAGTTTAACAAGGATCGATTCCGTTTACTGTTCAATGACAGTTGATAATAAAGAGAGTATGCATGCGTACTATTACGAGGTGTAATAAGAAAGTAGCGTTTTGAGATTACGTTCGTGAGATCTTGGGCGGCTAGAGTCAGAAATATTCGTTTTTATATATGGTGCTGCGGGCGTTGAAGAGAAAATCGCGTGATCAATTAAATGTGATCACTCTCTGTGTAGAGTGCTCAGTATGGATGGTTGACCGTGTAAAGCGAATCGCAGATGGCGCTAGGGTAAAGTGACCACACGTCCCGATTTTGGCGGGACAGTCCCGCGTCCCGCCAATTTTCAAAAATGTCCCGCTTTTTAGAAAATATCTGCATTTCTTATTTTAAATGTACTGATATATCTGAAGATCTTTGCGATCAATTAATAGAAAAAGTAAAACTATCTTCTTTCGCGTTGCAAGTAGATGAGGCTACAGATGTTCTTAAGGATGCACACTTGATTACATATGTAAGATATGTTGTGGAAACTGATGTTAGAGAAGACATGTTATTCTGTAAACCTATTGAAGGCAATACTACAGCAAGTGAAGTTTTTAATATGATTGATAAATTTTTCAATGAATATAACATTCTGTGGNATATATATATATATATATATACAGGGTGGGAGAGTCCCTCACTCATGAGGTGTTTCCGCTGTCGCTGATTGATGAGAAATGTGGTAATTGCGATTATCAAAGCTGGAAGGATCTTTATGAGACTTTTGTTAACAAGATTGATTTTGTTAACAAGCGTAAAAATGACTTTAAAACCGAAACGAGAGAGGACATTTGGAATTCTATTACAAACAGGGGGAGAAACGGTGAAGTAATAAGTTCTCTATTAGGATTGGAAAAAGGACGTTGGGGTGTAGTGAGTTTAGCAAGAACTGAATTAACTATGGATAGTTGACAGTGTAAAGCTAAGTACTGGTTAGCTATTGGTTAAAATTCGTCCGGGTTACTACTTCCGATATATTTTAACGTCTAAGCTTGAAAAAGAGCGCCATCCGATATTATTACACAAATAGTGTTTACAATATAACGCGTTCTTCCAATTTAAATTTCGACGAATCTAACAATAAAGTAAATCGCGAGACTTTGCAAGCGTGCTATGCTGCAACTCAAACGATTCAATCAAACTGTGCTATTTTACACAAATATTGCCAAATAAGGGATAACACTCAAAACATGACTACCCTTGCACTGTGATATTAATTTTGTTAAATTTGCTTTAGGCTAACGAACTGTTAGAATTTATAAATTACAAAAAACTCTTATGAATGTTAAAATTACGCGTGCATTTAAACAAAACTCACAATAATAAAACTTCCTAGAATATGAAGCCTGTTCACACATTGCCTCGTAAAGCATAACATAAGCGGAGGAATACTTCGGAAGTTTTCTAAATGTCTTCCTGTTTTAGGAAGGTCGGTTAGGAAGGTTGTTCACCTTCGTAGACTTGTAATTTTGAACCCAATCCAGAAGACAAGGGAACTCTTGGATAGGGAGAAATTTGCCTTCGTAGAGGACTTTTTTTGAGTTAACCCGCATTTGCGTTACATGGGGAGGAAAACCACAAAAACTCACCATGATTAGGCCGACGGCAAGGACCTAAACCGGAAGAACTCGCAATTTTCAAATTACAGGACATTCTTATAAATGGTGAAATAACGCGTAAACTTAAACACAAATTACAATTATAAAAGTTCCCAGAGCATTAAGCCTGTTCACACAGCACCTTCTAAGCAAAACATAAGCAGGAGAATACACCAAAAGTTTTCTAAATTCCTTCCGGTATTAGGAAGATTGTTATTGTTTACATTTAGTCAACCATCCTTATAAAACAAATTGCCTTTTTTTCGGGTAGTTTTCGTAGTTTAAAATGTTGTTTTAAACTACTAAACTTTCGTAGTTTAAAATTCTGTTTTGAGTTCTCAATATACAAAACAAGTGGAAGCTTTTCTTTAATTTTCATGTCTGGTTTCAATTCTAATTTTCAATTCTGGTTTCATTTGCACCAGAACTGACCTAACTGTAATTTTAACTGACACATTTTTGTCGAAATAACAAAAGAGGGAAGGTATTGTGGAACCATTTATTACTGTTTGCTACTGAATATGAACCCAAATGCCCCCAATTGTTCTAAATGGAGGTT